GGGGGGGGCTGTGCCGGGGCGGCCCCCGGTGCCTGCGGCGGGTCGGGGCCGGCCGGGGGCGGTGCCGGTGTGGCCGCCGGTGAGTCTGGCGGCGGTGGCGCGGGGGGCCGGCCGGGGGTGTGTCCCAGTTTATCCCGGCGGTGTGTCCCGGTGTGTCCCGCTGTGTCCCGGTTCCCCCCCCACCGCCGCTCACGGGACTCAGCGCTCTGGGGCGGCCGCCGCCGGTCACGTGAGCGCGCGCGCGCGCGCGCGCCCCGCCCGCCGCGCGCGCGCCCCCACCGTCCCGTCACGAAGCCCCGGCCGCCATCTTAAGTGAGGGCAGCCCTTTGCTGGCAAAGAGTGGCGGGTGTGGGGCGAGGGTGTCCTGGTGATTCCCGGCCATTCCCAGTGGTCCCGAGGGCACGCGCAGGGCGGCGGAGCGGGGCCCGCCGGAGCAGCGCCACCCGGCGCGGCAGCGGGGAGAGGCAGCGGCACTTTGGGCCGCGTGGGCGCCAATGGTTCTCAGCGCCTCCCATATGGTCTAGCGGTTAGGATTCCTGGTTTTCACCCAGGCGGCCCGGGTTCGACTCCCGGTATGGGAAGCTTCGCTTTTTCCTGCCGGGAAAAGGGGAACTGTCGCCCGCGTCTCTCCGCTTTCCTCAGATTCCTCTCGCAAAACTCTTTCGGGCTTCATTTTCGCACCTCTGCGACAAAATTTCTCGACTCCTGAAGCCGTAGGAAGCGCTTTGCTGCTGCAAACGCTGCCGCCCACCTGTTTAAAACCTTCGAGTGCACTGGACCGCACAGCCCCTCGCTAATTAACATACCGTTAATTGCCCTTTTAGCTAAGGCAAGCAAGAAAATTCCTGCTTGTGTCCCACAGAGTGTTTTAACCCAAGGCAGATACCATTGTACTGCAACTCCAGCAGCAGAAATCTGCTGGAGATATACATCTATAGAAATATATAGGTATTATACATAGAAATATATTACATATATTATACATATTTATTCTATTATATTACAATAATGTATATAATATATATATTACATATACATAGAAATATATTTTATATATATATATAAATTGGGGGGTCTCATTACTGAAAGAAAATCTTGGAGCAAAGCCAGGTGTGTCCAATGCCTTTGTCACAAGGTGTCCATGCTCTGGCAGAAGGAACATGGGTGGCAGCAGATCCCACCAGGCTCCTCCACCAAAGCCCACCTGGGTTCCCACAGAGAGGGCAGGGCAGCCCCCCATCCATGGGGAGAAGTTGGGGTCTTCCTGGGAGTTCCCTCAAAGCTGGGGGACTCAGAGGGGACATCCCCACCGGCAGCTGTGGCCTCCTGGGTGCCAGAGATCCGGAGGTCAGTGGGGCTTCGGGAGACACCGAGGTGGTGCTGCCACAAAGTCAGAGCCTTGTCACCTTGGGTGTCCCCTCTCAGGCCTTGTCACATTGTGTGCCCCTCTCAGAGCCTCATCACCCCATGTATCCCCTCTCACAGCCTCGTCACCCCATGTGTCCCCTCTCAGAGCCTTGGCACCTCCCCTATTCTCCACTTAGTGCCTTGTCACCTCATGTGTCCCCTCTCACTGCCTTGACACCTCCTGTGTCCCCTTTAGAGCCCGGTCACCTCATGTACCCCCCTTTCAGAGCTCTGGCACCTCATTTATCCCCCCCAAGAACCTCCTCACCTCATTTATCCCCCCTCAGAGCCTTAGCACCCTCTGCACCCCCTTTCAGTGCCCTGGCACCTCATGGATCCCCCTTTCCAGAGCACCTGGCACATTTTGGCTCTGAGGCAACCTCTGCCTGGCAAGATTTTGGGACGTGGCCCCTCAGAGCTGCCTCTCCTGCCCAGGAAGGCCCTGCCCAGCTCTGCTCTCTGCCAGGGGGCCCCGAGGCAGGTTTTAGGGGGTCCATAGACAGGACAACGTGTTCCTCGGGGAGCTGTGGGTTCCAGGGAAGCTGGGCTTGTCCTGGGTGGATGGTGGGGCTTGGCAGGAGACCCCTCAGCTTCTCTCAGCCTCTTCCAGCCAGGAATCCCCATGGAAACAGAGTCTCTGTGTCCCCTCTTGAGGAAAACTCCTGCCGGTGTTTTTTTTGAGGTTACTAAAATGATTTCCAAGACCCACCCAGGGCTATAAATACCTGATGGAGTTCCAACTTCAATAAGAAGCTTTAAACAGCACTAAAACCAGAGGCCAGGTGTCTAAATTATAAAGAACTAAAGACTTCAGGCACCACCAAGGACATTTTGTTCCTTTGAACCCCAGAATGAAGATATTTCTGCTAAAACCTCAACCTGCATCTTAAGAGAAAGGAATTATTTCGGCCCACCAGGACACAGAGAGTATCAGGAATATTCAGTGCAGGGTCTCCCAGGAGGCCTTTCCTCCTCCTCCTCCTGCTCCCACAGATCTGGGACACTCTGGCTGTTGCCTGCTCTGATGCCTCCTTGTGACATCCACAGCCTCAGGAGTTCATGGAGTTGTTCTGGGAGCAGATCCACGAGTGAAGGAAACCGTTCCAGAGGGCTGGAGAGAGGAATGTGCAGCTCCAAAATGCATAAGGGTGAAGAGATGAACGACAGAGCTGACTGACAGGTATCCTTAGGGATAGAGCAGCCAGTTCCAGCTGGATGGGCTCTGAGGGAATGACCAGATTCCCAACTGGGAAGGGAAGCTCATTGCTTCCAAAGCAGTGAACGGGGCAGAAAACATTCCCTTTGGAGCCAAGGAGGGTTTGTACATCCATGCAAGGGAATTTCAGCCACGGAGGTTTCTTGGATGCTGGATAAAAAATATCCACACAGCAGAGGAAAATGTGTCCCAAGAGGGTCAACAGCAGCTGAGAAGGAGTTTTAGGACACACAACACCCACATTCCATGTGCTTCCCACAGAACTGCTGGGGTTGGGAGGGACTTGGAAGTGTCCAGTCCACACCCTGCTCACAAGAGCAGGTGTCCAGGGTTGTGTCCAGAGAATCCTCAAGGAAAATGGGTGGGAATGGCAGTGATTGCCCAGAGGATTTCATGCTTTTAGGCTTTTTTAAGTACTTTTCCCCCCATTACTTAAAGCTTTTAAGAGCCAACACAGCCAAAATTGGTTTTAGGTCTCTCTTTGAAGACTGGGAAAGATGTGAGGAAAACATCCCCCCTGTTCCTTTTTATATTTGCTTTTAACAAGTATTTTATATTTGCATTTCAAACATCAGGACAACACCCTTGTTGGAGGCATTTCACCTCTTCATTCCTCCATCTGAACCCTTAGAGGTTCCAATTAAGCAGAAAAAATAATTAAAAGTGTTATTAGCTGTGAAGGGGGAGCAGAATAAAATGGTTTTTCCTCTTCCACCCCCCCTTCCTTCTGTACCTCTCCCTTTAAGTGTGTCCTTTAAAGCACATTTTCAAAGAGAATTGTACAAAGTCAGAACATTCTGATAAAATCCCTTTAATTCTCTGATATTTTTGTAGGAGAGAAGCTCGTCTTCAATTCTGACACTAAGTTTATGATTTATCTGCACAATGACAACATTCACTTGCTGCCAACACCTGCCCTGACCTTGTTCATCAAGGGCCTCCTGCACAGATTCTGGTAACTGCACGTTTAAATTGTTTTTGTTTGAAGCTTTATTGGCCAAACTTTCACTGGAACAATCCCAAAGGCTCCAAAAACTGCAGCTCAGGGACTGTACAGGAATAACAACACACTCCACGAGACAAACTTCAACCACTGAACTTCTCTGCACCTTCAGCTCTCGCTTTTAGGATTGTGACAGACAATAAATAGCTAGAAAATGTGTAGCTACACTATTTCCTTGCCAGGCTGCCCTGGATTTTGTGTTTAGCAGTGAGGGGTGGTTGCACAGAGACATGAAGGCACCAGCAACTCTGATCATCTTTTGCAGCAGTACAGGAAACAAGCCTGGAAGCCTCAGTTCCAAAAATATCCAGGTTCTTCTGGACTAAAATAGCCTCATCACCCAGGTGGTGTTTAATTGGCTTCATTACTGCAGCCTGAGATGAATCAGTGACCCCACAGGATTGTCACTGTGAGCAGCTCCCACTTTCCTCACACTGAGAAGAAAAAAAACCACCCCCCCCCCCCCCCCACAAAAAGCTGCCAAAACTTCAAGACAAAACATTTTGTGTAAAATGTGTAAAAAAGAAGTTCACTGTGCTCTGATAAAACCTGTACCAAGGGCTCCAACAAGTGCCAAGACACTTTGTTCCCAGGCTCTGACTGTGGGGCTGCAGGACCTTCTGAACACACA